CGGCCTCCCAAAGTGCTGGGATTACAGGCTTGAGCCACCGCGCCCGGCCTGAAATGTCTAAGATTAAAAAGACTGACCACATCAAGTATTGGTGAGGATGTGGTACAACAGCAACTCTCATACACTGCTGGGGTAGGTGTTAAATAATACAACCATTTTGGAAAATATTTAAGCAGTTTCTTTTTTTTAAATTTGTTTTCTTTCTATTTATTTACTGAAATGGACTGTCACTCTGTTGCCAGGCTGGAGTGCAGTGGCGTGATCTCGGCTCACTGCAACTTCTGTCCCGGGTTCGATCGATTCTCCTGCCCCAGCCTCCTGAGTAGTTGGGACTACAGGCACCTGCCACCATGTCCAGCTAGTTTTTTGTATTTTTAGTAGAGACAGGGTTTCACCATGTTGGCCAGGATGGTCTCGATCTCTTGACCTGGTGATCCGCCTGCCTCAGCCTCCCAAAGTGCTGGGATTACAGGCGTGAGCCACTGCGCTGGGCCTATTTATTTATTTATTTATTTATTTATTTATTTATTTATTGAGACAGAGTCTCACTCTGTTGTCCAGGCTGGAGTACAGTGCCAGGATCTTGGCTCACTGCAACCAATGAATGGATAAATTATGGTATATTCATATAGTAGAATCTACACAGCAACAAAAAGGAAGGACGTGATGATACATGTTACAACATATATAAATCTCAAAATAATTATGTTGAGTTAAAGAAGCCAGATAAAAGAAGTATATAGTTCATGCTTCCCTTTATATAAAATTCTGGAAAATGCAAACTCATCTGTGGTGACAGAAAGCACATCAGTGGTTGCCTGGGTATGGGGTGGGTGGGGTGGGCAGAAAGAGGGTAGGAAGAAATACCAAGGGGCAGGAGGAATGTTTTGGGGACTAATAGGTGTGTTTATTATTTTAATTGTGGTGATGGTTTCATAGGTATATATACATATATATATATAGAGAGAGAGAAATTGTAATCTTAAAATGTGTGCTTTAGGCCAGGTGTGGTGGCTCAAGCCTGTAATCCCAGCACTTTGGGAGGCCAAGGCGGGCAGATCACGAGGTCAAGAGATCGAGACCATCCTGGCCGACACGGTGAAACCAGGTCTCTACTAAAAATACAAAAATTAGCTGAGCGTGGTGGTGGGCGCCTGTAATCCTAGCTACTTGGTAGGCTGAGGCAGGAGAATCGCTTCAACCCGTGAGGTAGAGGTTGTAGTGAGCTGAGATCTCACCACTGCACTCCAGCCTGGGTGACAGTGGGAGACTCCATCTGAAAAAAAAAAAAAAATTAGCCAGGTGTGGTGGCACGTGCCCATAATCCCATCTACTTGGGAGGCTGAGGCAGGAGAATCACTTGAACCTGGGAGTCGGAGGTTGCAGTGGGCTGAGATCAGGCCTCTGTACTCCAGCCTGGGAGTCAGAGGACTGAGACTCCATCTCAAAATAAAAAAATTTAAAATATTCAAAAATAAGGCCAGGCACGGTGGCTCACGCCTGTAATCCTAGCACTTTGGGAGGCCAATGTGGGTGGATAACGAAGTCAGGAGATCGAAACCATGCTGGCCAAAATGGTGAAAACCCATCTCTACTAAAAATACAAAAATTAGCCAGGCATGGTGGCGTGCGCCTGTAATCCCAGCCACTCAGGAGACTGAAGCAGGAGAATCGCTTGAACCCAGGAGGTGGAGGTTGCAGTGAGCGAAGATTGCATCACTGAACTCCAGCCTGGGCGACAGAGTGAGACTCCATCCCTCCAAAAAAGAAAAAAAAAAGCATGGTTTATGGTATGTCAGTTATTAATCTCAATAAAGCTGTTAAAATTGTACTAAAATAAAACCATTGGGGGAAACTGGGTGAAGAGTACAAATAACCTCCTGTATTATCATGGTAACTTTCTGTGCAATTACAATGTTTCAAAAATAAAGAATTTAAAAGGTTTTTAAAAATAAGCATACAAGGCCAGGCATGGTGGCTCATGCCTGTAATGCCAGCACTTTGGGAGGCCGAGGTGGGTGGATTACCTGAGGTCAGGGGTTGGAGACCAGCCTAGCCAACATGGTGAAACCCTGTCTCTACTAAAAATACAAAAATTAGTTGGTTGTGGTGGCGCGAGCCTGTAATCCCAGCTACTTGAGAGATTGAGACAGGAGAATTGCTTGAACTGGGAGGGGGAGGTTGCAGTGAGCCGAGATGGACCCACTGCATTCCAGCCTGGGTGATAGAATGAGACTCTGTCTATATAAAAAAAAAAAAAGCATACACATTTATTTAAAAAATAGCATAAATACTTGTCAAATTGCTTTGTGAAAGGCTGTATCAGTTTAACTCTTTTTATTTATTTATTTTAGATGGAGTTTTGCTCTTGTTGCCCAGGCTGGAGTGCAGTGGTGTAATCTCGGCTCACCACAACCTCCACCTCCTGGGTTCAAGCGATTCTCCTGCCTCAGCCTCCTGAGTAGCTGGGATTACAGGCATGCGTCACCAAGCCCAGCTAGTTTTTTCTGTATTTTTTTGTAGTGATGGGATTGCTCCACATTGGTCAGGCTGGTCTCGAACACCCAACCTCAGGTGATCCACCCATCTCAGCCTCCCAAAATGCTGGGATTACAGGCGTGAGCCACCGCGCCTGGCCTATTTATTTTTGAGACAGGGTCTCCCTCTGTCACCCAGGCTGCAGTGCAGTGGTGCAATCATGGTTCACCCTATCCTGGAACTCCTGCCCCCAAGCAATTCTCCAGTCTCAGTCTCCCAAGTAGATGGGACTACAGCTATGGGCCACTATACTCAGTTATTTTATTTTTTTTTGAGACTGTGTCTCGCTCTGTCACCAAGCTGCAGTGCAGTGGTACGATCTCGGCTCACTGCAACCTCTGCCTCTCAGGTTCAAGCAATTATCCTGCCTCAGCCTCCTGAGTAGCTGGGATTACAGGTGCGCATCACCACACCCGGCTAATTTTTGTATTTTTAGTAGAGACGGGGTTTCACCTTGTTGGTCAGGCTGGTCTCAAACTCCTGACCTCGTGATCTGCCCGCTTCAGCCTCTCAAAGTGCTAGGATTTACAGGCATGAGCCATCGCGCCCGGGCCAACCTATTTTTCTTTTTTTTTTTTTTCTTTTTTTGAGACGGAGTCTCGCTCTGTCGCCCAGGTTGGAGTGGAGTGCAGTGACCAGATCTCAGCTCACTGCAAGCTCTGCCTCCCGGGTTTACGCCATTTTCCTGTTCCCGAGTAGCTGGGACTGCAGGCGCCCGCCACCTCGCCCGGCTAGTTTTTTTTTTTTTTTTTTTTTTTTTTTTTTTTTTTTTTTTTTTTTTGAGACGGAGTCTCGCTCTGTCGCCCAGGCTGGAGTGCAGTGGCCGCATCTCAGCTCACTGCAAGCTCCGCCTCCCGGGTTTATGCCATTCTCCTGCCTCAGCCTCCCGAGTAGCTGGGACTACAGGCGCCCGCCACCTGGCCCGGCTAGTTTTTTGCATTTTTTAGTAGAGACAGGGTTTCACCGTGTTAGCCAGGATGATCTCGATCTCCTGACCTCGTGATCCGCCCGTCTCGGCCTCCCAAAGTGCTGGGATTACAGGCTTGAGCCACCGCGCCCGGCGTTTTTTGTATTTTTTAGTAGAGACGGGGTTTCACCGTGTTAGCCAAGATGGTCTCGATCTCCTGACCTCCTGATCCGCACGTCTCAGCCTCCCAAAGTGCTGGGATTACAGGCTTGAGCTACCGCGCCAGGCCCCTATTTTTCTTAAGATATTATGTGTGTGTGTGTGTGTGTGTGTTTTTTCCTGTCTTCCTAACATTTTATAGGGTTGGCTGGTATACTTTTCATAAAAAAAAAAGTTGGGCCGGGCACGGTGGTTCATGCGAGTCCCTGCTATACAGGCCTTGAGGACTCTGCAGAGACCAAGATAAGCTGGGGGGCCTGCCCAGTTGAGCAGGGGAGGCCGAGACTCCTGTAACAATCCTGCAGTAGTTAATTACAGGGCTTGCAAGGAAGACGACAGGGTGACAGATACATTGCGTAAGTAGACACTGAGGCCCAGGGAAGCGCAAGGAATAGTCCAGTGACATACAGTCTGCACTGTCACCGGCGGGTTCTCAAATTTGGCCGGCAGGATCCGCGGCCCTGGGGACTCCCGGCCCGCTATTGCCACGCCCACCCGACCCGAGGTTGCCCCGCCCAACCAGGTCGGCAGTGGCCTCCGGTACCGGGTGGAAGCGTGAGAGTAGAGGGGTGGCACGTGACAGGCGGGGCGGGGCCGGGGCGGCGGAACGCGCAGGCTAGTGGCTGCGTTTCCCGCCGGAGGATTTTGCCCAGCGCCCCGCGTCCCTGGGGGGCGGCGGTGGTGGCGGCGCAGGCGGCCGAGGCGCAGGCGGCGGAGGCGGCTGGGGGGTCCGGAAGTCAACACCATGTCAAGTCTGCACAAGAGCCGGTAAGGGGCTACGGGGCCTGACCCGGCTGAGCTCCTCCTGGCCAGGCTGCCCCTTCAGCCCCTCAGAAGGGGGAAGCGCGGGTGGGGCTAGGAATCGGCAGACCTCCCCCCACCCCGGCAGAGGGTCTCGAGCGTCCACCTAACCTCATTGCCTGTGGGCTGCAGGAAGGACGGAGAGGCGGCCCTTCTCCTGCCCCTGGTGTCACTCCTTCTGCCTCCCTCATCCTGGAACCCTGGTTTCCCCCTTCCCCTGAGTCTTCCTCATCCAGACCCCCATGCCCCGCACTCTCCCTTTCCCCCTTTTGAGTCTCCTGCTCCTGTACTCTCTCCAAGTGCACCCTGTCCTCCGTGCTTTTTTCTTACTAGGATTGCTAGAGAACTTGCATTCTCCAGTCTGGCCCCTCCCCCAGGCCAGATCCTGCAGCATTGGCTGGATTTTGCTCACTCTTCAGTTTTCCTTCAGGACGTGTTTTTTAAACCCTTTGTCCTTGTCTTCTGGCAGGCCCAGAGGTCTTGTAATGGTTGTATTTGTGAGCGTTGTGCATTGTCTGCAGATCAAATTACTCCTGGTTCCTGAGGTCCAAGGAGTTCAGTTGGTGGCTGTGCTGTGGACCCGGCCTGGCCGGCAGGAAGTGCCCAGTAAACGTCAGCTCACTAAATATTAGAATGTTGGAATGTGTCTAATTTTATGGTCCACATTTGGGAACTTCTAGACAAGACTATCTCTCAAGTTTCTTCCCTGGCATTCTGTGTTTCTGGTTGTAGAGGAAGAAGTGAAATATGGTTTTGTTGTTCTCCAAAGCTGTCTCTTGTGAGGACCTTGACTAAGCTGTGTAATTTTTATGTCCTAAAGGGAAGAGAGGCACAGGTTGGAAACTGGCGGTGTGAGGGAGCTGAGGGCTGTGGGTCTCACTGAGCCTATATGAGCGTGCTTCATTTGCCTCCCTGTCTCCCCTTCTAGAATTGCAGATTTCCAGGATGTCCTGAAGGAGCCCTCAATTGCTTTGGAAAAGCTGCGGGAACTCAGCTTTAGTGGTAAGAAGCCATTCTTTATTTTCAGGGTTTCCCTAGAGCAGCCCTGTGGCTAGAATTCCCGGGGAGGTGCTCAAGGCCACACCTGGTCAGCTCTGGGGCCCAGCTGCTGGGGGCTGGGGCCATGGAAGGAAATTACACTTGGGGCCTTCTCCAGATTCTGTAGAGCTGAACAGGCAGTGACTGCCTTGAGCTTAGAGGGGTTTCCCAGAGGGGTAGTGGCCACACTTAGTGTGCCTTGCCCTTAGGCTTTCGACAGGAGGTGCCAGATTCCTGAGAGTAACAGGACAGGACTGAAGACTGGAGAATGAGAATGGGGGGACCCTTTTGAGCCCAGGACAGTCTTTCCTCATTCCTTAGCCAGCTTCCTGTGTTGGTGAATTTGGTTAACTGCAGGGTGGTTTCTGGTTCTCTCCCTAGCTTGAGGTCTAAGCTGCCTGAGGCGGCAGTAAACTTTGGTTAGCTGGTTAGTGGTAAAATAGCCTTGGGACACTGACTTTAAGGAGCTGATCCTGCCTTGTTAGACTTTGCCCCAACCAGCACAAAGATAACTCTCTTTTTGCCTGTTTTAAAAAATATCCCAATGTGTTCTGCATCGCTTCTTGTCACTTTTTTGCCCCTGTAACTTTGCCAGCAAGAACTTCAGGCCGGGCACCGTGGCTCATACCTGTTATCCCAGCACTTTGGGAAGCCGAGGCAGGTGGATCACCTGAGGTCAGGAGTTCGAGAACAGCCTGGCCAACATGGTGATACCCAGTCTCTACTAAAAATATAAAAAAGTAGGTAGGCATGGTGGCACTTGCTTGTAATCCCAGCTACTTGGGAGGCTGAGGCAGGAGAATCTCTTGAACCTGGGAATTGCAGCAAGCTGAGATTGCACCATTGCACTCTGGCCTGGGTGACAAGAGTGCAACTCCATCTCAAAAAAAAAAAGAACTTCTTATATTGTCCCTGCCATCATCATATAGATTCTGAAGTGGAGGCATTAGCTCATGTTCATGGTACCATGGATACTATAGCAGCAACTGCTCTAGTGAGCTTCCTGATATTATTGGAGGAGAACTTTGTCTTTCTGTTCAGGAGTAAAATACAGGCCCCAAAGGGGAGGCAGTCAGTGTTAGTAGTTAAGAGTTTTACAGTTAAGTTTCCTTCTTTTTTTGTTTCTTTTTTTTTTTTTTTTTTTGAGACGGAGTCTCGCTGTGTCGCCCAGGCTGGAGTGCAGTGGCCGGATCTCAGCTCACTGCAAGCTCTGCCTCCCGGGTTTTTACGCCATTCTCCTGCCTCAGCCTCCCGAGTAGCCGGGACTATAGGCGCCCGCCACCTCGCCCGGCTAGTTTTTTGTATTTTTTAGTAGAGACGGGGTTTCACCGTGTTAGCCAGGATGGTCTCGAACTCCTGACCTCGTGATCCGCCCGTCTCGGCCTCCCAAAGTGCTGGGATTACAGGCTTGAGCCACCGCGCCCGGCAGTTTCCTTCTTAGGACAATTATGCTAATATTCCCTACTTACTGGGGTTATCATGAGGATTAAATGAAATAATACCTGTAAAGCACAAAATACTTAGCATTCATAGCTTAGTTTATATTCCACAAATACGTATGGAATATCTTCTATGTGCAATGCTGTGTGCTAGACGCTGGGAATAATAGGTGTGGTTTTTGTCTTCTGGGGCTTACCCAGTAGTAGGGGTTACAGACGTTAAGAAAACACACCACTGTTGTGTATATATATAACAGTTCCACTTATGGCAGATGCTATGAAATAGTAACAGAGCCATTATTGCTTATAACGGAGGAACTGACCTGAATTGGGATGAGATGGTGGTTGGTAAAGGCTGCTCCTGAGGAAGGAATATCAAGGATGAGAAGGTGTTATCCTCAAAAGAACATTCCAGGCCGGGCATGGTGGCTCACACCTGTAATCTCAGCACTTTGGGAGGCTGAGGCGGGTGGATCACCTGAGGTCAGGAGTTCGAGACCAGCCTGGCCAACATGGTGAAATCCCGTCCCTACTAAATACAAAAATTAGCCAGGAGTGGTGGCTCACATCTGTACTCCTAGCTACTTGCAAGACTGAGGCAGAAGAATCGCTTGAACCGGGGAGGTGGAGGTTGCAGTGAGCAGAAATCATGCCACTGCACTCCAGCCTGGGCAACAGAGCAAGACTCTGTCTCAAAAAAAAAAAAAATTTGTATCTTGTCTGGGCCGGGTGTGGTGGCTCACACCTGTAATCCTAACACTTTGGGAGGTCAAGGCGGGCGATCACCTGAGGTCAGGAGTTTAAGCCCAGCCTGGCCAACATGGTAAAAACCTTGTCTCTACTAAAAATACAAAAATTAGCCAGGCATAGTGGTGCGTGTCTGTAATCCCAGCTACCTGGGAGACTGAGGCAGGAGAATCGCTGGAACCCAGGAGGCGGAGGCTGCAGTGAGCCGAGGTTGCGCCACTTCACTCCAGCCTGGGTGATAGAGGGAGACTCCATCTCAAAACAAACAAACAAAGAAAAAAAACCAAACCATCCAGTCTAGTAATCTTTCTTGGGGAAATGATTCTTGAAGAAGGACTTCTTGCCCACTCTACTCCCCGCTAGCTGGCTCCAAGGTGAAGGGCTGGGGGTTCTGGGACTGTGGCCTGGGACATGACCTTTGCTTGCTGTGTCCACAGGCATCCCCTGTGAGGGCGGACTGCGGTGCCTCTGCTGGAAGGTGGGTGTGCCTGGGGTGGGGCTTCCGCTCTGCTGAGCGTCCCTGGGTTTTCCTGCATAGGCTGCCCCTACCCCTGGCTTCTTCCTACTGTTCTGCACCTTTCCTTGCTTGTCTGAGGGAACTTTTCTGGGAAGTCCTGGGTTTTCTGTTCCTCTTGGTGTCCTCTGGAATTCCCCTTGGGGATGGGATACTTTGTAATGCCAACAACGAAGACCTCTGCTTCCTGGTCCGTGAAGTACAGTGAAAGTCATGCTTATTGGGACAAAACAAAGGCTGTGCTTTGCCCAAAGCTTCCAGCTCAGGTGGCCATGGAAGCCCAGTGTCCTGGTTTCCAGCCCTTCACAGCACAGGGTCTGGTGATCATGTGGAAGAGTCTGTGTGAGGAAAAGCAGAGGGAAGGCCTGATTTGGGTTAAAGGAGGAGGGAGGCAGTGGGGAGGAAGGGGGAGGCTAGACCTAGCTCATGCTGGCATTCCTGGGTTTCCGCCCATCTTGTCTTCTTGGGACTTTATGAGATGTTTTTCTTGAGGCCTATCAGCCCCGCCTAAAGACTGACGTTGATGCAGGAGGGTCACCAGAGCTTTGCCCCTCTCCCTCTGTGCAGATTCTCTTGAACTACCTTCCCTTGGAGAGAGCCTCATGGACCTCTATCCTGGCCAAACAGAGGTGAGACCCCGTGTAAGGGCAGTGACAGGAGGGCCCTTGCATCTGACGGAGCCGGTGCTGCCGGGGCCGCCCTGCCTCCTGCAGCTGCTGCTTTGGTCTGGGCTCCCTGGGTAGGACTGTTGGGAATCATCCTTCTCGCTTGTCTCCTGCAGGGAGCTGTATGCCCAGTTCCTGAGGGAAATGATCATCCAGCCTGGCATTGCCAAGGCCAACATGGGTGTGTCCAGGGAGGATGTGACTTTTGAGGACCACGTGAGTAGAGGTTGCCAGCAGAGACCCAGGATACAGAATGTGGAGGGGTGGCGGCCTTGGAGCAGGCAAGGCCCCCTGCATGCCAGGGGGTAGGTGCAGTCTGGTGTCAGTCCCCTCTGGACCTCCCAGTTACTCCTTTCTGTGTTGGGTCGCTAAGCTTGGGGGCCCTGAGCTCAGTAAGACAAATGGTAGTTGGGGTCCAGGGAGCATGGCAAGGGCAGCCCTGCGTCAGGTGCTCTGAGGACATGGTCTATTTCAACCCTCATTCCTGTTGTTTGAAGAAAGTCAGAGCAGGGCGGGAGGGAGGCTAGGCTGCCCTCTGTGGCTTCCAGGAAGCCGTGTTCTCCTCAAATGCTGAGCTCCTCCCTGGGCTTCCACAGCACGGGAGAAAGAAATGGATGGGCCCAGGCCCAGACTCACAGATAGGAATTGACGACTCAGAGCATTGATGAATGAGAGCTGAAGAAACCGAATTCATTCATTCAGCAAGCAAACATTTACTGAGCAACTGTTACATGCAAAGTTCTCGAGCTACAGCAATGGACAGAAAAGGAACAGAGTCCCTGCCCAGCAGAGATGTACTCAGAGGAGGCTGCCAGGCTGGGCTTCTGGCTGTGGAGTTCAAACGGATTCAGGAGGCTGTGGGAAGGGCTGTGTTGGCTCCTCTGAGTAGCTTGCAGGTGGTGTCAGGGCCACATCTCAGTGTGTGGTGGGGTTGTTGCAGCAAGGCCACTGTTCAGGTTTCTGGGATAAAATCGGGCCCAGGCGCCTATCTGGGCCTCCGACAGAGCATCTTCATTTCTCCCCACAGCCACTCAACCCCAACCCTGACAGCCGGTGGAACACATACTTCAAGGACAACGAGGTGCTGTTGCAGATCGACAAAGATGTCCGGTAGGCAGGGGGCCTGGGGCCGGGAGCTGGCCCATGGGACTTCTGGGGCTCTCTGCAGCTCTGTCTTTTCCATTTGCAGGCCAGGCCCATGGATGGGGGTTTGCGGAGCTGCTGGTGGATTGTCTCAGTGGTTGGGTCCAGGCCCTGTTGATGATAGGCTGAGAATGAGGCTAGCGAGGGATATTCTGTCCTTGCATGTACCTGGCTGTTCTTATCTGAGCTGGAATTTCATTCGTACCCCAGGCGTTCATGGATTCATCTGACATTCATTCAACAAGTATTGAGCCCCTCTTGTATGCCAGGCTTAGCACTAAGCTCAGGGTTGAGCACTGAATATACTGATGTGTTCCCTCCCCTTAAGGATCTTAGAACCTAGAAGGGAAGATGGCAAGACATTCAGCCCATTAGATCTTAGCAGATGGCATTCGTGGTAAATGCTCTTGAAGGAAAATTTGAGGGGGTTTGGGGAAACCTCACCTGAGAGGCGGTGATTCAGCTGAGATCTGAGGAGCGGGAGGCCTCAGGGGAAGAGTGCAGCAAAGGCCACATTGGGCAGGGAACTGCCCTTGACAAGGTCCAGAGGGCCCGCAGAGCTTGACACATCTGAGGAACAATGCCAAGGCCAGGGGGGCAGATAGGGGCTGGACCTTGGACTTGATTCTAAGAGCATGAGGCAGCCATGCAAAGGTTTTGAGCAAAGGAGTGACAGGGTCAGATACACAGTTTTTAAAATCTTGAGCTACAATGTGTTTGTGCTTTTCCACTTAGTAAAGAAATGTGGAGATGCTGCGGCCCTGTCAGGCTGGGGAGTTTGGCAGCGTGTTGGACTAGGTGAGGAGCTAGAAGGCAGGCCTTGTCCACAGGTGGGTGGAGTGGCTAAGGGCTTGGGTTCTGGAGTCCATTTGCCTGGTTTCCATTCTGCCCTCACAGGTTGTTAGCTGTGTGACCTTGGGCAAGTGACTCACACCCTCTTATCATTACTCTCTTTATTGTGAAGTAGGAGTAAGGTGGTTCAGGCTGGCCGGGCGCGGTGGCTCACGCCTGTAATCCCAGCACTTTGGGAGGCCGAGGCGGGCGGATCACAAGGTCAGGAGATCGAGACCACGGTGAAACCCCGTCTCTACTAAAAATACAAAAAATTAGCCGGGCGCGGTGGCGGGCGCCTGTAGTCCCAGCTACTCAGGAGGCTGAGGCAGGAGAATGGCGTAAACCCAGGAGGCGGAGCTTGCAGTGAGCCAAGATCGCGCCACTGCACTCCAGCCTGGGCGACAGAGCGAGACTCCGTCTCAAAAAAAAAAAAAAAAAAAAAAAAAGGTGGTTCAGGCTAAGGGCACAGAACGGGCTGGGTCTCCACAGATACGTGGGACTGTTGTGCTGGTCTTAGCACATACAGAGGCTCTTAGAATGATCAGATCTCCATCAGAGAAGGGTCCTGGGAGCTTATCCTGTTCCTTGTACAACAGCCTGCCTGGGACCCCCGGCACTTGGTCAGACAGGACAAGCCGACACTCTGACCCTCAGTGACCCTTCAGAACCTCCAAGGGGCAGCTCTCAGGTGCCCAAGTCAGTCTGCACCAGCACAGACAGGTGGCCCTCCATTGAGCTCCTTCTCAAGGAATGGCTGAGTACCTGTGTTAGGAGGGGTTTAGGAGTGAGCAGGACTGAAACAGTCTCTGCCTTCCGAGAGCTTCCAGTGTGAGCCTCCAGTGTGAGACGTATACTAAACCTGGAAACAGATACATAATTGCAAATACTGTAATGCTGTGAAGGAGGGAAAAACTGGTGCTTTTAGAGAATCAGAGGGAGGCCTTATTTTCCTTTGAGGGGTCGAGGAAAGCCTTTCCAGAGAGGAGGCTCAGGATGAGATATGAAAGAGGAGGAGGCAGCAGGGAGGCAGCGGGCTGGGTGGAAGAGTCTGCTGGGCTGAGGCATAGCACATGAAAGTGCCCTGTGGCCGGGGAAGAAGGCGCGTGGCAGGATAAAGCAGGGTACTCCTTGCCCTTGCCACCGTGGGTGCTGCTCCTCAGCCCAGGCTCATCTTCAGATGGCCCCATATGACCCCCGCACAGGGCAACTCAGCCAGGCTGCAGGAGAAAGGAGGCACTGCCTCTTGTGCTCTCAGGCTGGGGTTGGTGCAGTGTTTACCCACGAGTTGTTCTGATTGCCATGTTCAAGTCAAGAACCGCTCCGTGACCCAGGGAAATAGGTTCTGTTTTTTTGTTTTGTTTTGTTTTGTTTTTCTTTTTTGAGACAGAGGCTCCCTCTGTCACCCAGGCTGGAGTACAGTGGTGCAATCTCGGCTCACCGCAACCTCTGCCTCCCGGGTTTCAAGCGATTCTCCTGCCTCGGCCTCGCTAGTAGCTGGGATTACAGGCATGTGCCACGATGCCTGGCTAATTTTTGTGTTTTTTGGAGAGACGGGGTTTCACCAGTTGGCCAGGCTGGTCTCGAACTCCTGACCTCAAGTGATCCACCCACCTCAGCCTCGCAAACTGCTAGCATTACAGGCGTGAGCCACCACGCCTGGCCAGGTTCTGTTTTACGTGGGTAGTGATGGTAGCACATCCTTTGGTGCTTCTAGAAGTGGGTTTGCAATGTGCTAAGTATAAGAAGTCTGAAAAAAGTGCGTGTACTGCAGTACATATATTTTAAAACTTGATCACATTCTAGACACCATCTCCCAACTTGTTTTCCCTGTCACTCTGTCTTGGACGTCTTTCCAGGTCAGCTGTGTAATATTCTGTTGTACAGTGTGTAACTTATGGAGCCAAACCTCTTTTGCTACTACAAACCACTCTGTGTTTGTGCGTGTTAGATAATTTTTTTTTTTTTGGAGATAGAGTCTTGCTCTGTTGCCCAGGCTGGACTGGAGTACAGTGGCTCAATCTCAGCTCACTGAAGGCTTGAACTCCCAGACTTAAGTGATCCTCCTGCCCTAGCCTCCCGCATAGCCAGGACTGCAGGCACATGCCACCACACCCAGCTAATTTTTTTCTTTTTTTTTGAGGTACAGTCTTGCTCTGTTGCCCAGGCTGGAGTGCACTGGCATGATCTCGGCTCACTGCATCCTCTGGGTTCCAGTGATTCTCCTCCCTCAGCCTCCTGAGTAGCTGAGATTATAGGCGTGTGCCACCACACCCGACTAATTTTTTCTATTTTTAGTAGAAACGGAGTTTCACCATGTTAGCTAGGATGGTCTCCTTTTTTTTTTTTCTTCTTTTTTTTTTTGTGTGGTGGAGTCTCACTCTGTTGCCCAGGCTGGAGTGCAGTGGCACGATCTCAGCTCACTGCAAGTGCCGCCTCCCAGGTTCACGCCATTCTCCTGCCTCAGCCTCCTAAGTAGCTGGGACTACAGGCACCCACCACCACGCCCGGCTAATTTTTTGTATTTTTATTAGAGACGAGGTTTCACCATGTTAGCCAGGATGTTCTCGATCTCTGGACCTCATGATCCGCCTGCCTCGGCCTCCCAAAGTGCTGGGATTACAGGTGTGAGCCACTGCTCCTGGCCCCAACTAATTTTTTATAGAGATGGGGTCTCCTTTTGTTTCCCAGGCTGGTCTTGAACTCCTGGGCTTAAGTGATCCCTCCTGCCTTAGCCTCCTAAAGTGCAGGGATTATAGTCGTCAGCCACTGTGCCTGACCTAGATAAATTTTTTTACATGGAAAGATGTTTGGAGTTTAAAACAGGAGTTAGGTTGTATGACCATAATGACACTTTTAAAAAAAAGTATGTATCTATTTGCAAATACACATAAAATGTGGGTATGTATACATATACAATGACTACTGCTCTTTTAAAAAAATACTGTTTTTATTTTTTTATTTTTTTGAGACGGAGTCTGGCTCTGTCGCCCAGGCTGGAGTGCAGTGGCGCGATCTCGGCTCACTGCAAGCTCCGCCTCCCGGGTTCACGCCATTCTCCTGCCTCAGCCTCCCGAGTAGCTGGGACTACAGGCGCCCACAACCGCGCCCGGCTAATTTTTTGTATTTTTAGTAGAGATGGGGTTTCACCGTGGTCTCGATCTCCTGACCTTGTGATCCGCCCGCCTCGGCCTCCCAAAGTGCTGGGATTACAGGCGTGAGCCACCGCGCCTGGCCAAAAAAAATACTGTTTTTAAAATGAAATGTTGTAATTGTTGTTGTTGTTATTTTTTTGAGGCCGAGTCTCATTCTGTTGCCTAGGTTGGAGTGCAGTGGCGCGATCTTGGCTCACTGCAATCTCCTCTTCCCAGGCTCAAGCAATTCCTGCCTCAGCCTCCCTAGTAGCTGGGATTACAGGCACCTGCCACTGCGCCTGGCTAATTTTTTTTTTTTTTGAGATGGAGTTTCACTCTTCTTGCCCAAACTGGAGTGCAACGGCATGATCTCGGCTCACTGCAACCTCCGCCTCCCAGGTTCAAGTGATTCTCCTGCCTCAGCCTCCCAAGTAGCTGGGATTACAGGCATGTGCCACCACGCCTGGGTAAAATTTTGTATTTTTTTAAGTAGAAACGGGTTTCTCCATGTTGGTCAGTCTGGTCTCAAACTCCCGACCTCAGGTGATCCACCCGCCTTAGCCTCCCAAAGTGCTGGAATTACAGGCGTGAGCCACTGTGCCCAGCCAATTTTTGTATTTTTAATAGAGACAAGATTTACCATGTTGGCCGGACTGATCTCGAACTCCTGACCTCTAGTGATTCAAAATGTTGTAATTAAAAACAAACAATGCTGGCTGGGTACGGTGGCTCATGCCTATAATCCCAGCACTTTGGGAGGCCGAGGCGGGTGGATCACGAGATCAGGAGATCAAGACCATCCCGGCTAACACGGTGAAACCCCGTCTCTACTAAAAATACAAAAAATTAGCCGGGCGTGGTGGCGGGCGCCTGTAGTCCCAGCTACGCGGGAGGCTGAGGCAGGAGAATGGCGTGAACCCGGGAGGCAGAACTTGCAGTAAGCAGAGATTGCTCCACTGCACTCCAGCCTGGGCGACAGTGAGAGACTCCGTCTCAAAAAAATAAACAATGCTTTTGGGGAGTCTTGGGGTCTCCTGGCAGCAGGATGCAGATGGGATGGCGAAAACCTCCACCCCCAGTAACAAGATTCTTTCCTGTTCCCTCTTGACAGGAGGTTGTGCCCAGACATTTCCTTCTTCCAGAGGGCCACTGAGTACCCTTGCCTCCTCATCCTGGACCCCCAGAATGAGTTTGAAACCCTTCGTAAGAGAGTGGAACAGACTACACTGAAATCTCAGACAGTGGCCCGGAACCGGAGTGGGGTCACAAATGTGAGTGCCAGCCTGGGATCCCCAGGGACTCCCCCAACAGTCTTTTCTTTCCTTTTTCTCTTCAACTCCTGGCCACAAGGTGTCGGGCCATGACCATCTGCTTGATAGTTACTCAGAGCAATCCTGATGCTGCCAGATCCTGGGGCGCTTTCTGAAAGTTGGGTGACAGAGGTTCGCTGTGTCCCAGCTGGGTGTAATGGCTGCTGGGAAGGGCCCTGCGTCACAGTGAGTGAATGAGCCAGGCTTCTAATCTTTTTTTTTTTTTTTTTTTTTTTTTTTGAGACGGAGTCTCGCTCTGTCGCCCAGGCTGGAGTGCAGTGGCCGGATCTCAGCTCACTGCAAGCTCCGCCTCCCGGGTTCACGCCATTCTCCGGCCTCAGCCTCCCGAGTAGCTGGGACTACAGGCGCCCGCCACCTCGCCCGGCTAGTTTTTTGTATTTCTTAATAGAGACGGGGTTTCACCGTGTTAGCCAGGATGGTTTCGATCTCCTGACCTCGTGATCCGCCCGTCTCGGCCTCCCAAAGTGCTGGGATTACAGGCTTGAGCCACCGCGCCCGGCCAAGCTTCTAATCTTATAATGGGGTCATTACAAATGTGAGAAAGTGTGATAGGGCTGGGCACAGTGGTTCACGCCTGTAATCCCAGCACTTTGGGAGGCTGAGGCAGGAGGATTGCTTGAGCCCAGGAGTTCAAGACCAGCCTGGGCAACATGGTGAAACCCCATCTCTACAAAAAATAGAAAAATTAGCTGGGCATGGTGATGCGTGCCTATAGTCCCAGCTACTCAGGAGGCTGAGGTAGGAGGATGGTTTGAGCCTGGGAGGCAGAGGTTGCAGTGAGCCTGCATCACACCACTGCCCTCCAGCCTGGGTGACAGAGCCCAACCCTGTCTGAAAAAAATAAAAATTAAGAAAACGGCCAGCACAATGGCCCATGCCTGTAATCCCAGCACTCTGGGAGACCAAGGCAGGCAGATCACTTTAGGTCAGGAGTTTGAGACCAGCCTGACCAACCCAGGGATTTAACCCCATCTGTACTGAAAATACAAAAATTTGGCCCTGGCCAGGCATGGTGGCTCATGCCTGTAATCCCAGCACTTTGGGAGGCCGAGGCGGGTGGATCACCTGAGGTCAGGAGTTCGAGACCAGCCCGGCCAACATGGTGAAACCTTGTCTCTACTAAAAATACAAAAATTAGCGGGGCATGGTGGTGGGTGCCTGTAATCACAGCTACCCGGGAGGCTTAGGCAGTAGAATTGCTTGAACCCAGCAGGTGGAGGTTGCAGTGAGTCTAGATTGCACCACTGCACTCCAGCTTGGGTGACAAAACGAGACCCTGTCTCAAAAAAAAAGAAGAGCGCATTCCAGGTGGAGAGGAGGGCATAGGCCGAAGTGCTCAGCAGGAGAGAGCATGGTGTGTTCCAGGGCAGGGAGGCCAGGGTGGCTAGAAGCAGAGAGTGAAGGAAGAGGTTGGTGCTGGTGAGGCCATGTGGGGCCGTTGTCATGAGGGGTAGGGAGAATCCTTTACAGCACTGTAAGCAGGGCAGTGACGTGATTCACGTCTGCTTGCGTCAGAAATGCTTTAGGCACTGTGGAGATGTAGGAGTGGTGCTAGAGAGGCTACCTGGAAGACCACTGCAGTTGTCTAGGCAAGAGGTGGTGGGGGCAGGGATGCAGCAGAGTTAGATCTGAGAGACTCAGGGGTGGAACTGATAGAACCCCCAACTTTTAATAGATTCCTGTCACTCTGAGAAACTGCTTGTAGTCAAGCAAGTATATTACCTTATTCCTTAATTTACACCCCCTACTTTGGTATCTGGAATAGTGGCTTGTTGCCCTAAACTTTCACTGTCTTCCTTCAATGGAAAAAGCCTTCTCTATAGCCTCCAACAAGCTAGGGCAGATACTACTGCAAAAGTTTTTCTCCCCTGGGGAATGACTTTGTTTTTTGTTTGTTTGTTTTATTTTTTAAAATAGAGACAGAGTCTTGCTATGTCACCCAGACTGTCTTGAATTCCTGAGCTCAAGCGATCCTCCTATCTGGGCCTCCTAGAGTGCCAGGATAACAGGCGTGAGCCACCACACCCAGCTGGGAATGACTTTGATCGGAGCTCTGACGGGCAGGGGCAGATATGGCCAATCCGGGGTTGCAGGTGCCTACGAGAGTTGGGTGTCCAGCAGAACTGCTGTGCAGTGCAGATTGCGTGGCGAGATAACCAGGAGGCTGGCTTCGTTGGCGGCACTCTTGACTGCTGATTTCCTGACTGAAGGGCAGGGAGGGGACTGGCTCCTGTCATTCCTTTCACTGTAGTAACTGGGTATAAGGAGCACTTACCTAGTTTAACTTTTGGTACTGGTAGCAGAGAACCCACCAGAAACTTCATCTCTAAGCCTCTGGGTTCATGATTGGGCAGTTTGAGTTAAAGTTGACCATCTGTGTGACTCTGGGCAAGTCATACCAGGTTCACATCCTGGCCTTTGTTTCCTCAGCCGTCAACTGGGCATAGTCATTTCTGCCCTCCCTGAGTTGCCAAGAGGATGAAATGAGGTCATGGCTGTGCAGATTCTTCAAAAGCAGAAAGCCCTGGGCATCCTCAGGAGGCAGCCTGCCCTCAAGCCCTGGACCTTAGGTTTGGGAGTCAGCCAGTTCAGGGTCAAGTCCTGATGCCACCACCTAATGTTAGACATTTAAGGAGCAGTCTGACATTTCTGAGCCTCAGTTTCCTCATCTTGAAAATAATGTTGAGAGAATATTTTAGATTGTTCAGTGGATTAAATGGAGGAATACCCGTACAGCACTGTCTGCCGCATAAAAAGCTCTTGGTAAATGTGACTGATGTGTGTCTCTGTGTGTGAACATCCCTGCACGTGTATGCATACATATGTATGTATATGTTATGGGAGAGAGAGTTTAATGTCTCCAGGACCGTACGCTTCCAGGATGGCTTCATCCACTGTCACTGCCTGGGTTCTCTCAGATGGGTCACTCACCTCTGGGGCTTCCTACCGATCAGGTCTAGGGCAGGGCCCAGGCACGTGAATCTTTACAAAGTTCCCAAGGGATCCTGACAGGCAGCTGGTGTTGGGGACCCGTGCTCATTGCATGAGTCTTCAGTAGGGATCATCATCTCTTTATCTTCCAACCTTTTTTTTGAGACAGTCTTGCTCTTTCGCCCAGGCTGGAGTGCAGTGGCACAGTCTTGGCGCTCTACAACCTCCGCCTCCTGGGTTCAAGCAATTCTCATGCCTTAGCCTCCTGAACAGCTGGGATCATAGGCATGTTGCACCACGCCTGGCTAATTTTTTTTGTTGTTTGTTTGTTTTTGTTTTGTTTTCTTTTTCTTTTTTTTTTTTTTGAGACGTAGTCTCGCTGTGTCGCCCAGGCTGGAGTGCAGTGGCCGCATCTCAGCTCACTGCAAGCTCCGCCTCCCGGGTTTACGCCATTCTCCTGCCTCAGCCTCCCGAGTAGCTGGGACTACAGGCGCCCGCCACCTCGCCCGGCTAGTTTTTTGTATTTTTCAGTAGAGACGGGGTTTCACCGTATTAGCCAGGATGGTCTCGATCGCCTGACCTCGTGATCCGCCCGTCTCGGCCTCCCAAAATGCTGGGATTACAGGCTTGAGCCACTGCGCCCAGCCTGTTTTTTTGTTTTTTGTTTTTGTTGTTGTTGAGACAGAGTCTCGCTTTGTCACCCAGACTGGAGTGCAATGGCCGGATCTCAGCTCACTGCAAGCTCCGCCTCCCAGGTTCACGCCATTCTCCTGCCTCAGCCTCCCGAGTAGCTGGGACTACAGACGCCCGCCACCTCGCCCGGCTAGGTTTTTGTATTTTTTAGTAGAGACGGGGTTTCACCGTGTTAGCCAGGATGGTCTCGATCTCCTGACGTAGTGATCCGCCCGTCTCGGCCTCCCAAAGTGCTGGGATTACAGGCTTGAGCCACCGCGCCCGGCCTGTTTTTTTTTTAAGAAGGAGTCTTGCTCTGTCGCCCAGGCTGGAGTGCAGTGGCGCGATCTTGGCTCACTGCAAGCTCCACCTCCCGGGTTCATGCCATTCTCCAGCCTCAGCCTCCCAAGTAGCTGGGACTACAGGTGCCCACCACCATGCTTGGCTAATTTTTTATGTATTTTTTAGTAGAGACGGGGTTTCACCATGTTAGCCAGGATGGTCTTGATCCCTTGACCTTGTGATCAGCCTGCCTTGGCCTCCCAAAGTGCTGGGATTACAGGCGTTAGCCATCGCGCCTGGCCTAATTTTTGTATTTTTAGTAGAGATTTTTGGCCAGGGTGGTCTCGAACTCCTGACCTCAAGTTATCCTCCCGCCTTAGTTTCCCAAAGTGCTGGGATTACAGGTGTGAGCCACTGTGTCTGGCCTCCAACCTTTTCTTATGAAAATTTTCAAACATTCCGGAAAGTTGAAAGGAGAGTACACTGGATAACTATCTGTATATTTTCCATCTAAATGCAACACTTGTTAACATTTTTCACATTGCTTTATTCGTGTGTGTATTATATATAGAGAAAGAGTAAGTTGCAGATGTCTGACCTTTTACCACCAAGCACTTCAGCAGGATCTCCTGAGAATAAGGGCATTCATTGTTGGCCAGGCACGGTGGCTCACACCTGTAATCCCAGCACTTTGGGAGGCCAAGGCAGGCGGATCACCTGAGGTCAGGAGTTCCAGATCAGCCTGACCAACATGGCAGAATCCGCCCCCCCAACTTAAAAAAAAAAAAAAAAAGCCGGATGTGGTGGTGGTCACCTGTAATCCAAGCTACTTGGGAGGCTGAGGTGGGAGAATAATTTGAACCCAGGAGGCAGAGTTGCAGTGAGCCAAGATCACTCCATTACACTCTAGCCTGGGTGACAGAGCAAGACTCCATGTCAAAAAAAGAAGAAGGGCATTCTCCTACTTACCATTAGCACATCTGGGAAGATTAACCATGAGTCCATAATATCACCTGTGAACGATTGAGATGTCCTCAGTTGTGCCAGTGGTATCTTTGGATATTCTCTTTCTTTGGTCTCTTGATTTGGACTAGGCCTCCCCTCCCCAACTCCATCACCTTAACAGCTGACTTTTTGAAAAGTCTTGGCCAGGCCAGGCATGGTGGCTCATGTCTGTAATCCTAGCACTTTGGGTGGATCACGAGGTCAGGAGTTCAAGACCATCCTGGCCAACATGGTGAAACCCTGTCTCTACTAAAAATACAAAAAATTAGCTGGGCATGGTGGCGGGTGCCTGTCATCCCAGCTACTCGGCAGGAGAATCACTTCAACCCAGGAGGTGGAGGTTGCAGTGAGCCGAGATCGTACCATTGCACTCTAGCCTGGGCGACAGAGCAAGACTCTGTCTGGGGGGCAGAAAAAAGAAGAAAAGTCTTGGCCAGTTGTCTGTTTTTGACATATTTAAAGTTTTTGGTATTTTTTTTGTTTTGTTTTTTGAGACAGAGTTTCACTCCTGTTGCCCAGGCTGGAGTGCAATGGTGCAATCTTGGCTCACCACAACCTCTGCCTCCTGGGGACAAGCGCTTCTCCTGCCTCAGCCTCCCGAGTAGCTGGGATTACAGGCATGTGCCACCACACCCAGCTAATTTTTTTGTATTTTTAATAGAGACAAGATTTCTCGGCCGGGCGCGGTGGCTCAAGCCTGTAATCCCAGCACTTTGGGAGGCCGAGGCGGGCGGATCACAAGGTCAGGAGATCGAGACCACAGTGAAACCCCGTCTCTACTAAAAATACAAAAAATTAGCCGGGCGCGGTGGCGGGCGCCTGTAGTCCCAGCTACTCAGGAGGCTGAGGCAGGAGAATGGCGGGAACCCGGGAGGCGGAGCTTGCAGTGAGCTGAGATCGCGCCACTGCACTCCAGCCTGGGCAACAGCGTGAGACTCCGTCTCAAAAAGAAAAAAAAAAAAAAAAAAGATTTATCCACATTGGTCAGGCTGATTTCGAACTCCTGACCTCAGGTGATCCGCCCGCCTTGGCCTCCCAAAGCGCTGGGATTACAGGCATGAACCACCATGCCTGGCCCTAAAGTTTTTGTTTTAAATTGAAGTGTAACTTACGTGCAATTACGTGTACAATTAGAAAATGTTTTTCTTGTGTGTGTACCTGTGTAAGTGCCAGTCAGTCAAGATAAAGAACGTGTCCACATCCAGAAAGTTCCTGCATGCCCCTTCCCAGTTAGTACTTCTCACTGCTCTGACTTTTACCACCATAAGTTAGGTTTTAGGACCGTCGTTGTGAGACAGTGTCTTGCTGTCACCCAGGTTGGAGTACAGCGGTGTGATCATAGCTCACTGCAGCCTCAGCCTCCTGGGCTCAAGTGATCCTCTTGCCCTAGCCTCCCAAGTAACTGGAAACACAGGTGCATGCCAGCATACCTGGCTAATATTTACATTTTTTTTGTAGAGACGGGATCTCCCTATGTTGTCCAGGCTGGTCTCGAACTCTTAGGCTCAAGTGATCCTCCTGCCTTGGCCTCCAAAAGTGCTGGGATTACAGGCTTGAGCTATTGTGGCCAGCCCATGTTGTCTCTTTTTGTTTTTGTTTTTTTCTCCTGAGACAGGGTCTTGCTCTGTCACCCAGGCTGGAATGCAATGGTATAATCACAGCTCACTGCAGCCCCAACCGCTGGGGCTCAACTCTCACCTCAGCCTCTCAAAGTGCTGGGATTGCAGGCATGAGCCACCCACCCTGGCATTGTCTTTCTTGATGGGGTCCTCCTTTTCTCCTCCAGATGAGCTCCCCACAAAAGAACTCTGTGCCATCATCCCTAAATGAGTATGAAGTGCTGCCCAATGGTTGTGAGGCCCACTGGGAGGTGGTGGAGCGGATCCTGTTCATCTATGCCAAGCTGAACCCTGGCATCGCTTACGTGCAAGGCATGAATGAAATCGTGGGGCCCCTCTACTACACCTTTGCCACCGACCCCAACAGTGAGTGGAAAGGTAAGAAGGCTCTTGGTGCTCACATCAGTCCTTGCTGGCCCGTGTCAGGCTGTGCAGCTCACTTTCCCTCTCGGGCCTCTGTTCTCCCTCTGCCAGTTGAGGAGTTGGCCTGGATCATCTCTGAGATCCTTTGCAGCTGTGATCTTCTAGAATGTTGGATGTTGACTGATCTCTTGATATTTGTAATTTAATTTCTGGTAGAGAAGGTAGATATATAGGAAGCCGAATTAGAAGATTTAAATAATAGTTTTTAAGTTGTCATCAGGAGAGTGTGTAATAAATTGCTAAGTGAATGTACAGTGCTGCCAGACGTGAGAAGAAAGAGGCGATGTCTTTAACCTGGGGGTGGAGGGGGTCAAGGACAGAGGAAGGACTGAGCCCCACCACGAGGACGGGGCAACTCAGTGGGGCTCAGAGCGGGGCAGATGTCTGGTAGGTAAGAGGTGGGATGGGCCTGGAGTGCGCCACTTCTGCCCCCATCCTGCGTCTCTCCCAGAGCACGCCGAGGCAGACACCTTTTTCTGCTTCACCAACCTCATGGCCGAGATCCGGGACAACTTCATCAAGAGCCTAGATGACTCGCAGTGTGGCATCACCTACAAGATGGAGAAGGTTTACTCCACCTTGAAGGATAAGGATGTGGAGCTCTACCTGAAACTGGTGAGGACCCCAGGAACAGAGGGATGGAAAGGGACAGGAGGCAGAGAGTTGCTGCGCCATCCCAGCCCAGGGCGAGGTCTGGCGGTCGGACGTGGCGGCTGCTGGTGCTGCCCGGGACACTGACCCATGTGCTGAGGCAGCTGATGGCCAGAGCCCAGCAAGCTGGGAGGGAAAAGGAAAGTTGAGAATGGTGCCCACTGTGTGCCAGGCATACTGCAGGGCATTTATTATGAACTTACTTGGTTAAGCTATTAGTAGTCTTCTGAGGTAAGTGTTAACTTCATTTTTTAAAATTAATATAATTTTAAAAATTGTACTGGCATTCCGTGTTTATTTCATAAAACAAAAGGAATTTATTTACATATAAACAAAAAGTTTCATGAAAAATAAAATACATATCTAAGCTTATCTTTTTTTTTTTTTTTTTTTGAGACAGAGTCTCGCTCTGTCGCCCGGGCTGGAGTGCAGTGGCCGGATCTCAGCTCACTGCAAGCTCTGCCTCCCGGGTTTACGCCATTCTCCTGCCTCAGCCTCCCGAGTAGCTGGAACTATAGGTACCGCCACTGCGCCCAGCTAATTTTTTGCATTTTTAGTAGAGACAGGGTTTCACTGTTTTAGCCAGGATGGTCTCGATCTCCTGACCTCGTGATCCACCCACCTTGGCCTCCCAAAGTATTGGGATTGCAGGCATGAGCCACCGCGCCCAGCCCTTTTTTTTCTTTTGTTTTGAGATGGACTCTCACTCTGTCAGAGGGCAGATTGGAGTGCAATGCTGCAATCTCAGCTCACTGCAACCTCCGCCTCCCAGGTTCAAGCAATTCTCGTGCCTCAGCCTCCCTAATAGCTGGGATTACAGACATGCATTACCATGCCCGGCTCGTTTTTGTATTTTTAGTAGAGATGGGATTTCACCATGTTGGCCAGGCTGGTCTCGAACTCCTGACCTCAAGTGATCCGCCTACCTTGGTCTCCCAAAATGCTGGTATTACAGGTGTGAGCCACTGTGCCTGGCTGGCCAGGAATAATCATCTCTTTTTAAACAAATATGGGTTGAGTGTGATGGCTCACAGTTGTAATCCTAGCACTTTGGGAGACTGAGGCAGGAGGATCCCTTGACCCCAGAGGCTGAGACCATCCTGAGCAACATAGTGAAGCTTTGTCTCTACAAAAAATTTAAAAACTAATTAGCCAGGCATGGTGGCACAGGCCTGTAGTTTCAGCTACTCAGGAGGCCGAGGGAGGAGCTCTCAAGGTCAAGGCTACAATGAGCCTTGATTGTGCCGCTGCACTTCATCCTAGGCAATATAGCGAGACCTCATCTCTGGAAAAAAAAAAAAAAAGGAAGTATGCTTTTGCTGTTTTGTAGCACGCTTTTTCAGTTAATATTCACTGTGGCTGACCAGAAGGCTCATCTGTAGTGGGAATAATTGCCTGTGGAATTGTTCTGTGGATTAAATGAGTGAGAGGACATAGTTAATATGCTGAGCATAGCCCAGGCTTATAGTAAGTGCCCTGTGATGGTCACTCAGCACATCCACAAACCCAAGGCTATCATCTGCAAAGTGTGTGAAAGAGTTTGAGCCATCATTTATAAATCTGGAGAGCTTATTACATAAAGGTTTGGGTTTCCAGCTTCTCTTAAAAAAATAGGAAGATCTGAGGATGTTGGCTGGCAGCAAACAGGCTCTGCCCCTTTTCCAAGCGAGGCTATCTGGCAGCCTGGTGCCAGCCCTGGTGCTCTGAATTCATTTCTGACCCACTGCGTGGTGCTCCATGGCCAGCAGCCAACATGGAGTCCCGCTCCCCACCCCCTACGCTGTCTCCCCAGCAAGAGCAGAACATCAAGCCCCAGTTCTTCGCCTTCCGCTGGCTGACACTGCTGCTGTCCCAGGAGTTCTTGCTGCCTGATGTCATCCGCATCTGGGACTCCCTCTTCGCCGATGACAACCGCTTTGACTTCCTCCTCCTCGTCTGCTGCGCCATGCTCATGTGAGTGCGGGCATGAGCTGGCATCAGCTCACCAGGGCGGTCCTTGGAGAAGCCAGACGGGAGGACCCTCCGCCCCGAAGGGTGGGCAGGGCTGCTCTCTCATGGCTGGTGTGGGCTTCTGGAGTCCTTGGGACGGCCCCAAACCAAACTCGAGGTGGGTGGGGAGGGAGTAGCAGGCAGGGCCTGCGCTCAGAGCATCCCAGGTCCCAGCGCTTTTGCTGCTGCTTTTCATAGGCTGATCCGGGAGCAGTTGCTGGAAGGGGACTTCACTGTGAACATGCGGCTGCTGCAGGTAATGGGAGTTGGGGGCAGGCCCAGCCACTGCCATGAGGCCGGCACTTGCCAGGCACCTGCCCACGCCAGCCACTGTGACAGACTGGGCAGGGGCAGTGAAGCGTAGCAGGGATCAGAGTCCAGACCCCTGAGGGAGATCTGGTTTGGATCTGGGTTTGAATCCTGGTTCTGCCATTGACCTGGAATGTTGGGTGGCCTTGAGCAAGTGATCTGGCCTTCAAACCATGTATTCTACATAGGTGTTCACACCTGGGACACCGCAGGTGCCCAGAATGTGGCTGCGCTTGCTGGTGGCCATGCTCAGGCCAGGGGAAGGAGGTTGGGGTGTAGAGATTAAGAACATGGGCTCACCGGGCGCGGTGGCTCATGCCTATAATCCCAGCACTTTGGGAGACTGGGGTGGGTGGATCACCTGAGGTCAGGAGTTCGAGACCAGCCTGGCCAACATGGCGAAACCCCATCTCTCTACTAAAAATACAAAAATTAGCTGGACGTGGTGGCGGGTGCCTGTAATTTCCAGCTACTTGGGAGGCTGAGGTAGGAGAATTGCTTTAACCCGAGAGGTGGAGGTTGCAGTGAGCCGAGATCACGCCACTGCACTGCAGCCTGGGTGACAGAGCAAGACTCTGTCTCAAAAAAAAAAGAAGATGGGCTCAAGGGCCTACAGCTTTAGGTCCACAGTTTTGCTCTGCTGTGCTCATCATGTGACCCAAGCCAAGTTACAGCATCTCTGGGTCTCAGCTTCTTCACCAGCACCTGGCCTTAGTGTGGGTTTGGTTTGTTGTTGTTTGTTTTTTTTTTTTTTTTTTTTGAGACGGAGTCTCGCTCTGGAGTGGCACAATCTCAGCTCACTGGAGTGGCACAATCTCAGCTCACTGCAACCTCCACCTCCCAGGTTCAAGCGATTCTCCTGCCTCAGCCTCCTGAGTAGCTGGGATTACAGGCATGCGTCACCAAGCCCGGCTAGTTTTTTTTGTATTTTTTAGTAGTGATGGGGTTTCTCCACATTGGTCAGGCTGGTCTCAAACACCCAACCTCAGGTGATCCACCCGCCTCGGCCTCCCAAAGTGCTGGGATTACAGGCGTGAGCCACCAAGCCCAGCCTAGAGTTGGTTTTCCATAACTTCATGGACTAGATCTGGAAAATGAGCAGAATCACAGTAGCCACTCACAGCATTGTTGGGACTTTGAGCTGATGCTCAGACACTGGCCCAGTGCCACTGACTCCACATGAGGGAGCTCGGGTTCAGTGGCAGAAGTGGGAGAGCTGAGGCAGCATGGTCTGGTCCTGAGGAAAGGGCCGCGAGAGCCTGGGGGTGGTTGTGTGTGGATCGGTTGAGTTGGTGCTGCATGGTGTAGCGTCACCTGCATGCAGGGCTCTGGGGATTGGGGAGTGTGGAATGCCTGGTAGTCCGTGCTCCTGCCCCTGAGGCCCAGGATCCAGCATGGCAGCGGGTCCCAGCAGGGAGGGTGTCTGTGTGGCAGGGGTGAGGTAGCTTCAGAGGCAACTGTTGGCCTTTCCTGTGCCCAGGACTACCCCATCACAGATGTCTGCCAGATCCTGCAGAAAGCCAAGGAGCTCCAAGACTCAAAGTAACCCGCGGCAAGAGGCCCATGTTCGGGAGAGAAGCCACCCGACCCTGTGCCCTGGCTCACGGGACACACAGAAACCTGTAGGAACCCAGCCTGAGGGGAAACCGCAGGGTTGGCCCGAGTCCCAGGCAGTGCCCGCTGGGGACACACTGTGCTGTGCTCCTTCTTCTGCCACCACGCCCAGCTCCCCGCCTGCCCTGCACCCTGCCCTCTTTGCCCAGGATACTGAGCAGGGCCGAAGCTCGGGAAGTTGTCCTTCCCGGGCCAGGGCCATTTCCGGCACTGGGAGGCTCCCAGCGGCCCCCTCCCTGCCTCGGCTCTGCTGCCCCAGCCTCGGTTCCTGCTTCTGGTCTTTTCCTGGGCTCCGGTCAGGGGAGGTGCTTGGCCAGTGGGCCAGAAACCGCTTCTGAGTGGGGTGCTTCACAGGGAAGGCAACACTGAAAGCAGAGGCCTGCCATCTCTCTCACCCACAGATGTCTGTCTGTAGTCGGTTGGTGTGGACGTGGGCCCAAGTCCCCAGGCGTCTCCTCCCCGCGTATGTGTGTGTGAGGGGGTGAGGGTCTCTCAGGCCTCCAGGTCTCCCAGCCCCTCCTTCTCTGTCTCTACCTCTCTGCCTGTCTCCTTCCGCCTCCTTCCCAGAGTGGGACTATGTCTTGCTCCATGTTTCCTCTGTCCATTACTCTCCCTGCCCTTCTCTGTTGGGGTGCCTTATCCTGAGCCGCCTCCTCTCCCTGCTTCCCTCTGCTCCCCTGAACCTGGGAGACAGATGAGAAGACTGGCTCAGCAAGGCCCCTGGAGGTCAAGCTTGGCCTTTGCCTCCTGTTCCCATCCCCCAGCCCCAGGCTCCTGGGTCCCCCCGACTGCGAGGGAGCCCTCCGTGCCTCACTTAGAGGGTTCTGAACCCGTTCCCTACACAGAAATCTTGGAAACCAAATGCTGCTGAGTAAGAATGAAGCTTTGAGCTTCCTGCCCCTGTGCTCTGCCCAGGGAGGGAGAAGGAAGAGGGGGAGCTGGTTTTTCTGGAGGTTCTCCCAGAGGCCCTCCTGTCCCAAAAGAAAAGGACCTTGATTCTGAGCCCAGGGTCGGAACCTGTTGCTTCAGAAGAGTTGTCATTTCCTCGGCTTCCAGGTCCCAACCCAGGGTGGGTGAGTCCCACAAAGGACAAGTGGGGCCTGAGGAAGCTTCTCTGGGGCCGGGGGTAGCTGCGCTTAAAGGCCTTGGGTCCTGCCAGTACCAGGAGGGCTATGTCTGTGCTTCTGTGTATCCCTCCACCCTCTGCGGACTGAGGGAGGTGCAGGGCCTTCTCTGACCCCTGCCTGAGCTGTTCCCAGGGCTGGGGCAGGTATACCCTGAGCAGGGGCAGCTGGCCGCTCCCAGTTCTCACCAAGTCACCTCCCTCCTTGTACAAGGTTTGCGTCCGGAAGCCAGGTGCCATAGTGAGTACCCTTGTCCTCCAGACTGGCTGGCAGGAGTCAGGCCCCAGCAGCCCTCCTGCCCCCAAAGCCTTCCGAGTCTGGTGGGCAGGACTTCTCGCTGCCCTCCCAAGCCTGGCTGTGGGCCAGAAACGGCTTCCCCAGGTGGCTCTTCTACCAGGCTTTTCCTTGGATGCCACCTGGATTTCTGCACCTGCGCAGTATTTGGGAGACTTTGACTATTTATTCAGACTCCTGGCTATGTATTGCACATTGGTGAGTGCTCTGGGGATGAGGCGTGGGTGTAGGAAGTTAGAAAGGAGTTGGAGACAAGATCCTCTTCATTTTCCAAGATCAAAGTCAGCCTCTTCTCCCCATGCTTCTAGGACCTGCCTGATTTTCCAGCAGGTCCTGGCTGGGTGGGCTCTTGAGTTCCGTACTGGAATTGAGTGTAAAGGTGGGAAGAGAACTAGGCTGACTCCAGGACCTCCAGGATGAGGCAGAGACATGATGCTTCCTGCCGGCCTGGGCCACCCTCTCTCCAGTACTTGTCAGCTGGTGGTTCAGCCCCTCCTCCAACCCCTTCACAACCTTGGGCCACTGCCTGGGACCCAGCAGACATTGCCCAGGACTCCTAGTGCACTCACTCTTGTCTGCGCCCGCCTTCCTCCTGGGACCACACTACTTCACTGCCCAGGACTCCTAATGCACTCGCTCTTGTCTGCGCCCGCCTTGCTCCTGGGACCACACTACTTGAATCACCGTCTGATTTGCTTCGCTGGCAGAGTTGGGTCAAGTGCCCTCTCCTTTGCCTTGAGATGAAAGTCAAGAGCACAGGGACCAGGCCTTGGTTAGGCTGAGCTCCCAGCAGGATACCGCCTGCAGAAAGGACCTGCCCTGACAGTGACCCTTCCCCAGATTCTCAAGCAGATGCCCAAGGGAGGTTCCCACAGAACCAGAGTGCCTGAGGCTTCCTGCTTGAGAACCTGCCCCCTGGATCTTGGACACTTACAGATTGAGCTGTATGAATTCAGTGGGTCTCACTCCAGAGGGTCAGAACGTTTGCTTTAGTTTTTTATCTGTTTTGTTCCTTGAGTCAGTGCTGTTGATGACGAGTTGTCTTGAATAAATCATGTGTTCTTTGCAATGGGCATTGGTGCTGTGATGAGCTGAAACTTTGGAGACCTCAGAACAGGGAAAAATGTTTGAACAGGGATGGAGTTCAGAGTCTCTTAGAGTGGCCCTTCTTAAAAAAGGTCCAGGAAATCCTGGGAAGTGCCTGTTTGATTCTTCCAGTTCAGCCTCAGCAGTCTGCAGCTAGGGGAGGAGGGAATGATACTGGGGAAGGAGGTTCTGCATACATGATTACTTTTATTTTTTAGATTTAAAAAAACTTAGACCATCCCATTATATGTGGAAAAAGCATTTGACAAAATTCAACAGCTTTTCCTTATTTTTTATTTTATTTTATTTTGTTTTGAGATGGGGTCTTGCTGTGTTGCCCAGGCCAGAGTGCAATGGCATGATCTCCATTCACTGCAACCTCTGCCACCTGGGTTCAAGCGATTCTCCTTCTGCAGCTTCCCAAATAGTTGGGATTACAGGCGCCCGCCACCATGCCAGGCTAATTTGTATTTTTAGTAGAGATGGGGTTTCACCATGTTGGCCAGGCTGGTCTCGAACTCCTGACCTTGTGATCTGTCCACCTCAGCCTCCCAAAATGCTAGGATTACAGGAGTGAGCCACCACGCCCAGCCGTCTTTTTTTTTTTTTTTAATTTTATTTGATTTTTTCTTTTTTTTTTTTTTTTGAGACGGAGTCTGGCTCTGTCGCCCAGGCTGGAGTGCAGTGGCCAGATCTCAGCTCACTGCAAGCTCCACCTCGTGGGTTCACGCCATTCTCCTGCCCCGGCTTCCCAAGTAGCTGGGACTACAGGCACCCACCACCTCGTCCGGGTAATTTTTTTTTTTTTTTGTATTTTTTAGTAGAGACAGCGTTTTACCGTGTTAGCCAGGATGGTCTCGATCTCCTGACCTCGTGATCCGCCCGTCTCGGCCTCCCAAAGTGCTGGGATTACAGGCTTGAGCCACCGCGCCCGGCTTTTTTTTTTTTTTTTTAAGATGGTGTCTCACTCTGTCACCCAGGCTGGAATTCACCTCCCGGGTTCAAACAATTCTCCCACCTCAGCCTCCCAAGTAGCTGGGATTACAAGTGTGTGCCACCTCGCCTGGCTAATTTTTGTATTTTTAGTAGAGACAGGATTTTGCCATGTTGGACAGGCTGGTCTCCAACTCCTGGCCTGCCTTAGCTACCCAAAATGCTGGGATTACAGGCATGACTCACCGTTCCCGGCCATCAGTTATTTTTTAGATTAAAAAAATTTAGGCCGGGCACGGTGGCTCACACCTATAATCCCAGCACTCTGGGAGGCCGAGGCTGGTGGATCATTTGAGAGCAGGAGTTTGAGATCAGCCTGGCCGACATGGTAAAACCCCGTCTCTACTAAAAATACAAAAATTAGCCGGGTGTGGTGCCACACGCCTGTAATTCCAGCTACTCGGGAGGCTGAGGCAGGAGAAGCGCTTGAGCTTGGGAGGCAGAGGTTGCGGTGAGGCAAGATTGCACCACAGCACTCGTTTGGGCGACAGAGTGAGACCCTCAAAAAAACAAAAAAGTATCATCCCATTATCTGTAGAAAAAGCATTTGACCAAATTCAACATCTTTTTTTTTTTTTTGAGACGGAGTCTAGCTCTGTCGCCCAGGCTGGAGTGCAGTGGCCGGATCTCAGCTCACTGCAACCTCCGCCTCCCGGGTTCCCGCCATTCTCCTGCCTCAGCCTCCCGAGTAGCTGGGACTACAGGCGCCCGCCACCTCGCCCGGCTAGTTTTTTGTATTTTTTTAGTAGAGATGGGGTTTCACCATGTTAGCCAGGATGGTCTCGATCTCCTGACCTCGTGATCCGCCCGTCTCGGCCTCCCAAAGTGCTGGGAATACAGGCTTGAGCCACCTCGCCCGGCCCAAATTCAACATCTTTTCATGATAAAAACTCAAATTAAGCAAAGAAGGAATGTACTTCAACATATATGGCATAACATATAACAGTAACAACTATCTATGGTATGACCACAACTCAAGGGGGAGAAGTTTTTTCTTTAAGATGAGGAACAAGGCCGGGCGCGGTGGCTCACGCCTGTAATCCCAGGACTTTGGGAGGCCGAGGTGGGCGGATCACGAGGTCAGGAGATCGAGAGCATCCTGGCTAGCACGGTGAAACCCTGTCTCTACTAAAAATACAAAAAAATTAGCTGGGGTTGGTGGTGGGCGCCTGTAGTCCCAGCTACTCGGGAGGCTGAAGCAGGAGAATGGCGTGAGCCCAGGAGGCGGAGCTTGCAGTGAGCTGAGATCTGGCCACTGCACTCCAGCCTGGGCGACAGCGCGAGACTCTGTCTCAAAAAAAAAAAAAGTCCAGAACAAGATGAGGATGCCCACTCTCTACTGTCATTCAACATAGTACTGGAAGTACTAGCCAGACCGGTTAAGGAAGAGAAAGAAAAAGCATCCAAATAGGAAAGGAAGAAGAAAAATAGTCTCTGTTTGCCAGCAACATGATCTTGTATTAGAAAAAACCCTAAAGACTCCACCAAAAAGCTGTTAGAACTAAAGTGGTAAGAAACAAAATCAACAAACAAAAATAAGTAGCATTTCTGTACACTTAACAAACTATCTGAAAAATCAAGAAAAAAGCAGAAATTAAAAGTCAGAAAAAAAAAGAAATAGAGAAAATCTCATTCACTGTAAGTACCTCCTCAAAAAAAATATTTAGGGCCGGGTGCAGTGGCTCTTGCCTGTAATCCCAGCACTTTGGGAGGCGGAGGTGGGCGGCTCATGAGGTCAAGAGATCGAGACCAATCTGACCAACATGGTGAAGCCCCGTCTCTACTAAAAATACAAAAATTAGCTGGGCGTGGTGGCGCATGCCTGTAATCCCAGCTACTTGGGAGGCTGAGGCAGGAGAATCACTTGAACCTGGGAGGCTGAAGTTTCGGTGAGCCAAAATCATGCCATTGCACTCCAGCCTGGGCAACAAGAGTGAAACTCCTTTTCAAAAGAAAAAACAAAAAGGTTTAGTAACCAGAACAGCATGATACTGGTGTAAAATAGACACACTGACCAAAGGAACAGAACAGAGGAGCCGAGAAATGAACCCAGGCATTTGGGGGTGAATTGATTATCTTTTTTTTTTTTTTTGAAACAGGTTCTTACTCTGTCACTGAGGCTGGAGTGCAGTGGCACGATGATGGCTCACTGCAGCCTTGAATTCCCAGGCTCTGGTGATCCTCCCTCAGCCTCTGGAGTAGCTGGGACCACAGGCACACATCACCACGCCCAGCTAGGTTTTCATATTTTGTAGAGACAGGGTATCTTTGCATTGCCCCGACTGGTCTCAGAACTCCTGGGCTCAAACAATCCTCCTGCCTTGGCCGCCCAGTGTTGGGATTATAGGCACGAGCCACTGTGCCACGCTGTGTTTGTGGGGTGGTGGTGGTTGTTGTTGTTTTTTGAGTTGTTGTTTTTGAGACAGCATCTCCCTGTGTCGCCCAGGCTTGATGCAGTGGTGCCATCTTGGCTCACTACAACCTCTGCCTCCCGGGTTCAAGTGATTCTCCTGCCTCAGTCTCCCAAGTAGCTGGGACTACAGACTTAACGCCACCATGCCTGGCTAACTTTTATTTATTTATTTATTTTTGAGATGGAGTTTCACTCTTGTTGCCCTAGCTAGAGTACAATGTCGTGATCTCGGCTCACTATAACCTCTGGCTCCTGGGTTCAAGCAATTCTCCTGCCTCAGCCTCCAGAGTAGTTGGGATTAGAGGCACATGGCACCACCCCCGGCTAATTTTTTAGGTTTTTGTTTGTTTGTTTTTAATAGAAACAGGGTTTTACCATGTTAGCCAGGTTGGTCTTGAACTCCTGACCTCAGGTGATCCACCCTCCTCGGCCTCCCAAAGTGTTGGGATTACAGGCATGAGCCACCACACCCAGCCTAACTTTTGTATTTTATTTTCTAATTTAATTTAATTTTTTTTTTTTGAGACAGAGTTTTACTCTTGTTGCCAGGCTGGAGTACAATGGCGCGACCTTGGCTCATTGCAACATCCACCTCCCAGGGTCAAGCGATTCTCCTGCCTCAGCCTCCCGAGTAGCTGGGATTATAGGTACCCGCCACCACACCCAGATAATTCTTTTTGGAATTTTAGCAGAGATGAGAGTTTCACCATGTTGACCAAGTAGGTCTTGAACTTCTGACCTCAGGTGATCCGCCGGCCTCAGCCTCCCAAAGTGCTGGGATTACAGGCATGAGCCACCGCGCCCAGCTGTATTTGTGTTTTAAGCTAACGGTTATTACGAAAGAGTCCCAAAGTTTTAAAAAATTAAAACATTTGTAGGCCAGGCACGGTGGCTCATGCCTGCAATCCCAGCACTTTGGGAGGCGGATCAGGAGGTCAGGAGATCAAGACCATCCTGGCCAACATGGTGAAACCCCATCTCTACTAAAAATACAAAAGTTAGCTGGGTGCGTGGTGATGTGTGCCTATAATCCCAGTTACTAGGGAGGCTGAGGCAGGAGAATCACTTGAACCCGGGAGGCGGAGATTTCAGTGATCAGAGATGGCACCACTGCAGTTCAGCTTGCGACAGAGCAAGACTCCGTCTCAAAAAATATATATGTATAAAATAAATAAATAAAAATACAAAAATTCGCTGGGCGTGGTGGCAGGCACCTGTAATCCTAGCTACGCGGGAGACTGAGGCAGGAGAATTGCTTGAACCTGAGAGGCGGAGGTTGCAGTGAGCCGAGATTATGCCACTGCACTCTGGCCTGGGCAACAGAGTGAGACTGTCTCAAATAAATACATAAATAAAAATCTGTAAAGTAAAAATTTACAGTAAGCCAAGGTTTATTATTGAAGAAAGAAGTATTTCAAATAAATTTAGTGTAGCCTAAATATACAGTGTTGAAAAAGTCTACAGTCGCGTACAGTAGACTTTGTCCTGGGCCTTGACATTCACTCCTCAGCGACCCACGCAGAGCAACTTCCTGTCCCAGAAGTTCCATTCATGGTAAGTGCTTTATACAGATAGGTGTAC